GGTTTCCAACTTACATGCTCCTATTAGGCTAAAAAAAGTCAAAAGTAAATATACCCCCTGGATGAATGGAGAGATAATAAAATTAATGAACTATCCGAAGAAAGCAGTTAAAAATAAATCTTCTCGCTTCCATGAGGCCTATAAAACAGCTAGGAACGATGTCAAATAGATTGATTAGAAATACCAAAGCTAGTTATTTTCAAGAGGTAATTAGTAATTCAAAAAACAACTCTAAAGAAATGTGGAGAAATATAAACCAACTCATTGGTAAAACCTCTAAAACAACAAATGTAATTTCAGTCAAATCAAATGATCAAATATTTACGAATAAGGATGATATTGCTGAAACGTTTAACGATTACTTTTCAGAAAGTGGTACAGAATTATCCAACAGGATTCCAACAGGTAATGAAGGATTTGAAGAATATCTTGATCGGTCGGTTAGTGCTGTTTCTGAGTTCAAATAGGTTTCTTCTAATGATGAAGTTGAAACTGTTTTTCAAGATAAAATAACAGTGATATATGCGTTTCGTATTTGACATATATACATATACATACATACATACATATATATATATATATATATATATATATATATATATATATATATATATATATATATATATATATATATATATATATATATATATTTTCTGGCGTTTTTCCGGATGATTGGAAACTTCACCTATTTATATATCGGGGAACAAACAAGAGTGTGGTAATTATCGCCCAATATCTGTATTATCAGTCGTTGCGGTCAGTCTAGTTTTAGAGAAGGCCATTCAACTACATCCTCTTTACTCTCTACAACCAACTCTTGGTTAGTAAACATGGATACTGGCCTTATTAACGGGGTCCTTCTCCGCGATCTCAAAAAAGCGTTTGATACGGTTGACCACCAGATCCTTATTAAGAAACTTGAATTATATGGAATCAAAAATAGTGCGTTAGCATGGTTTTCTTCCTACTTACATAGAAGAACTGAAGCGTGTAGAGTTAATAATATTTCATCATCTTTAAAACATATTTCGTGTGGTGTTCCACAAGGGTCTAACCTGGGTCCCCTCCTATTTTTAATTTACATAAATGATTTGCCTAATTGTTTAAAAAATTCAAAACCAGTTATGTATGCTGATGATACCAATTTATCGGTTACTGGAGAAACTGCAAGTGATATCGAAGTGAGATTAAGTACTGAACTTGAAAATGTTCATGACTGGCTAACAGCGAATAAATTAACACTTAATGCAATGAAAAAGTCGTTCAGTTATGCCGGCGTCAACATTTAAGACACACTGAGTTTTCAGAAAGAAACAAAGTAATTAACTTGATTCAATGATTTGATATAGTGGGTTATGACGTATTAAATGTGTATTAGTATAGGTAATCATGCGATGGCGAGTACAATTAGGGATTAATAGTACGAGTGATGTTTGGAAATTTTGCTACTAGCTACTTTTTTATTATTAGCATGACAAAATTGGATACGTACTTCTCAATGTCAACATCATATTCTCTCGCCAAAGCCCAATCCTGCCACACTTTCAACCAAAATTTGGTGCTTTTGTTCGTATTTTCATTTAGTTCTTTTGTTAAAGCAAAATTTGGTGCTTTTGTTCGTCTTTTCATCTAGTTTGTTCGTCTTCACATTTGTGTTTAAAATACCTTCCCGCCATTTTGTTTGTTTTGAGAAAATCATTAATTGTACTGCAGTACAATTAATGAAATAATTCTACTCCTCTCAACCAATCAGCATCCAGTAATTTTGTCATGCTAATAATAAGACGTGTAATTATGTATATTGTCCTGTATTGTATTGATATTATTGTAATTTTAGCGTAATTACACGGCCTTTTGAAAAGCAGCATTTTATTTTTCTTAATTTACTATTGCATGTTTACTTATATAAAATTATATGTACGTATATATTGCTAAAAAGTTACCGTGTATAAAGATTTTTAAATAATAATAATCCCTTTCTAACTGCATCGGTTGTTAAAAAGCTTTTTCCTCGATGAACCTTTGACAAAACTGCTGAACAGTGAACCACGTTCTGAACAGTCAACAACAAAAATGGGCGCGCGAGGCCTGGCACTACACAGGTAACCCTAACTCCTAACTTATCTTAGGCGCTCTTACATGGCTCCACAAAATGTGAAACATTTTCTGAATAACGTTATATAATATGAACCTAACTAGGTGTCCGTGTATATTACGTGTCCGATAATGAATTAATCAAGACTAATGTAATGTATCGTGGCTCCTCGTCGGGGAGTCCCGGTCTCTATAGTCTACTCTATTTCAGTTTCCAATAATAGTACGAGTTTGTCTATCGGTCTCTCTAACGTTGATCCACTAGCTATTCTCAAATGTACGGATCTTACTAAACCTTGTTCATCAGCGTTAGTACTCACGACTCTCATGACCACTGATTTCTCGCGAGATCATTATCCTTTAGTATTGTCGCTCCCAGACGCCGCCGAAAATTTCTTTTCCAGTCGATGTTGTGTTTCAGCAACTCAGCCTTATCATCCATTTCTTTATAAGCACGCTTTAGTTCGTTGTCCGCGCCGAAAAAGTTGGTTCTTTGGTCGCTACTAATCTCTCGTCCTCTTCGCGCGAAGAATCTTCTTAATACGAGTAGAAACAAATTTACATCCAACGAAACTTCGATGTGCCCAGCACGACTTGCTAAACACGTAAAAAGAAATCCGTACCGTTTAACCTCTTTACGTCCCTGCTTCACCAACCAGTCTACGGCGCAGTAGGTGAATGGTGGAGCTGGTTTCAAACGTGACTCGGGAAAATTCGCCATATTTTGTTCACCAACGGACCCACGAAGTTGTCGACATTTAACACACTTAGCTATGACAGATCGAACTGCCGTATTTCCGTTAACTACTCAATAGCCGTTTGCACGCATTTCATTCGGGGTGATTCCTCTACCACTATGTTGAACCTTGGCATGGAAGTATCGGATGATTATGATAGGATGCTTAACGCTTAATGCCCTCAGTCATGTCCGCGCGACTAAGCCTCCTTTCAACTCCGCTGTTATCGCTTTTTAAGACTCCGCTGTTATCCAGAAACGGATCTAGCCTGTGAATGACACTAGATGTCTTCATTGCAGCTTTTTTCTTTTTGATGAACTCTCGATCTTTGGGATCATTATCTGCTTCCATTTGTTGCAAAAGCTCGGTATCTGTTGCAAAGGCTTCGTGCTGCATCCACTTGATGACTACCGTTTCCGCGTCTCTTATATCTTCCACATTAATTGACTCTTTGGCCGACGTATCTCCTTCGTTTCTGACCCTTTCTCTCAACTTTCGCACATATCATCCGCAGTTGGCGACTGCTAGTTTAGCTTGTATTCAGGAAGAAAACCGTTCTAACCTGCCAAACATATTATCTTCTTGTACTGCCACGACTCTCGCATTGACCTTCTTCACTTCAGGGTTACTCTCGTCGAATGCAGTGTGGTCTGCACGTTGCTGAGGCCAATTGTCTTCAGTCTGTCACAGAAAATCAGGGCCACTAATCCACTTCGAATTCTCTAGAAATGCTTCCGCTGTCATGCCTGTAGAAGCCTCGTCTGCCGAGTTGTTTGATGTGCCATCGTGTTTCCATTGTTCTGGTGAAGTATAGTCTCGTATCAGTTGTACCCGATTGGCAACATACACATGGAACCTTCGGGACTCGTTGTTAATGAAGCCAAGAACTACTTCGCTGTCCGTCCAGTAAAAATCTACATCTTCATAATCCACTTCAGCTTTCAGCATGTCAGCTTCTGATACCGTCGCCGCAGCGAACTCTAATCGCGGAATGCTCACCGTCTTTTGTGGTGTAACTCGTGCCTTTCCAGCGACAAACGAACCGTGTATTTGACCGTTTTCATTGACCAGGCGAAGATACGAAGTCTGCCCATAACCAGTCCGTGACGCATCAGAGAAACTATGGAGCTGTTTTGTAACAACCTTCCGAAGTTGTTCGGCTTGAAAATTCGTGGAACAATTACTTGTTCAAGTAGAGGAAGCTCGCACCTCCATTTTTCCCATCTCGCATACAACTCATCAGATACGGGCGTGTGCCAATCCGATCCTTTACAGATCTCTTCCAAGATACGCTTTCCAACCCGAACCACAGGGGCAATAAGTCCCAACGGATCGTAAACAGAACTTATCTTTGAAAGGATTCCTCTCCTTGTACATGGTATGTCTTTCAACTCGATTCTGAATTCCACACACCAATGAACGCCTTATGCTCGTTCGGTCGACCGACAATCTATCTTGGCCAAGCTCAAGTTTGTTTATGTTCTGTGCTCGATCCTCCAAGGGTATTGACTGGTTTACTTCGACGCAATTGCTTATGAATTTGGTGAGGTTTCCTTCTCTTTATCAGTCTTACTGTATTTGGTGGTTTCCAGTGGGGATCATGCAGTGCAGTGGAGTTACATACATGCATCTGACATAACTTCCTTTGCTTGTAAAACTTAGCTATATGTCCTCGATTGTAAAGTCTATATCACATACTTTTGATCTTCAAGAAGTCCTTTCTTTGAGATAGCGATCGTTCCTCGAATTCAAAGCGTTGGTCTAGGTCATGCATCTTATAACACACAACACATGGGGGCATATCTTTCAATTGTTCGTTCTGCCCTTTCGGAAATGTACCAAAGTTTTATCCCTTATTTCTGTGATTTCGTCTTGTGGGTTGTGAACTCTCCTTAGTTACCAGCTCTTCCGAATAGACAGGATCAGTAGCTAAATCAGCTTGCTTAGTCACAAACTGCACAAAATCTTCAAAGCCAGCCATTCTTCCTTTGGAAACTCTAATAGCGTTAGCCCTTTCACACCACTTGCTGTGAAGGTACCTCGGCAATTTCTCCCATAATTGGCGCGTAACGTGTGTTGTATTTGAGTCACCTATGTAGTCCATTCCGGTCATGGCTGTGCTTGCTTGCTTGCTCTAACACAATCGCAAACTCTTGAAATTTTTCTCTCTCGTTTGGTTTAATTGGTGTCCAGCTCGACAATTTGGTGACATAAGCATTTGCTATTCTGAAGGAATCCCCAAATGTTTTCTCAGAAGTGTTCTTGCTTGATGATTCGGTTTTACTTTGCAGACAGCCTTTGATAACTTCTTTAGCCTTCGCTGTAGTATATTGCTCCAGATAATAAAGTAGTTCTATGGGCTCGCTAACCTTAGACTCTACAAATGCATCAAATGCCATGATAAATGCAGGATATTCCATTACATCACCAGCAAATGTTGGGGGTTTATGGCTTGGAAGGGTACTCTTTAGTTGATGGGTTGCCATAATTTTAGTTCCGTTTTTGTTACTGCCGTATCTTTAGAAACGGCTCATATGGGTTGATGTCAACAATAACGTTCGGGGTTTGGCAAAAGCATTGGGCTTGTGGGTGGTTTATAGCCTATAATGAAGTAATAATTCGCCCGAATTCACTTGGGGTTTCCTATCAGTGTCCGTATTTAACTGCAGGGCTTCATGTGGGGATGTATTTGGGGCAGGCAATGGTGTCGTGGTTTCACTTGGCTATTTGCCTTTGGTTTGTTATTATTATCATCCACTTTAACATTGTCTATGACAGAATATGGGGGCTCTTATTCAACGTTTAAACCACTAGATTCAAAGGGTTCTGCATTGGGAGTTAACGGTGTGGTCGTTTCCATATTGTTAGTACAGTTATTCAATTCTTTCTCATATACTTGTTCTTTTACTCTAACTTCAGCGACTTGCTGTTCAAGCTCTAGTTCTTCAGCTGCTATTCTCAGCCGGCCTTGTTTCCTTTTCAAAAAGACAGCCTTTGCTTCTAATGCTGCAGATTTGGCTCTTATTGCAGCTAGCTTTGCCCTTGTGGACTAGAAAATGCCACAAAGGACTTACATTTACGAGAAATGCTTGATCGTTCCGACTTATTAGACTGGGTTTCGTATTATGGCTTAACCTTAGCAACAGTGAAGTATTCAACAATGTTCTTTTTAAAATCAAACACCGTTCTATCCTGTGTGTCATACCAACTGTTAGCTAGTCCAACATCGTTTTCATTGCTAAGTTTCGTTAAATATATAATGCATGAGCTTGTTGCATATCCATAAATAATTTATCCAAACGAGGTACATTTGTTCTCACTAATTCTTCGTTTTATACCCTTGACAGTAGAGGGTTTATTATCTCGATTTATTTTTCAACTTCAGATAAAATGTACTTACGATTTTGCGCGAGTGTCTTTAAAACGTTTTCTACGGTATTATCAGCAGTTTCGACTTGTTCAATGCCAGAATTTTGATTTCCAGCATCCGTATTTCCATTTAAGGCAAGAAAATCATCCATATTCCATTTCAGATTCGCTTAGTTCATGTTTATTTCATGATTACCATTAAATACCGCGGGCTCCATAACAGCTGTCATCGGTTCCGTGACGTCAGTACTAAAACGTGGTATAAGCGGCGAAAACAATGGCGCGGATTCTTCGAGCATTGGCAAGCTGAATTGTTCGTCGTTAATTACATCGAGTAGACTCAATTCTCCGTTTCAAAGGTGATCCATAGAATTCCTTGTTCCTTTATCTCGTTATTTACCGTTCTATATGGTTGAACTACAACTGCATCGGTTGTAAAAACGCTTTTTCCTCGATGAACCTTTCAAAAAAGGTTCAACCATGTTCTGAACAGTGAACAACAAAAATGGAAGTGCGAGGCCTGGCACTACACAGGTAACCCTAACTCTTAACTTATCTTGGGCGCTCTTACACCCTTAAATATATAGATAAATGCCTCCATTTCATTAGCCTATCCACTATGAAACCCCTCCCCCAGCACAACACAGTAATATCATTCAACGTTCGGGTCAGATTTATTAATTGGCTGTGGGGGCTCATGTTATTTTATGTTATAAACAATGTGTAATATTACACACCTATAAAATTACACAACATCAGCTGTGTGGTGTGTAAAATTACACACCTTTTTCAAAAAACACGCCTTGAGGTGTGAGACAAGCAAAATTAATTTAGTGACAAGCAAATTACAGAAAGTAAGGCGTGTAAAAGTACAGACCTTTTCTCGCAAAAGGTGTGTAAAAATACACGCCTTTTTCATATAAATACACACCTCAACGTGTGTAAAAATACACGCCTTAAAGTGTGTTAGTTTGGCAACAAGAAAGGTGTGTAATACCTACACACTTATTTTTGAAAGTGTATCTGTAATAATTTTACATATTATCACCATTGATGTGAAAATCAATACATAAATCATGTACAAGAATCATTCTTTACGAATTTAATAGTATGTACGTATGTTGTGTTGTATGTATACTCAGGTGGAATTATTTGACATATTTCTATTCTGAGTGCGTCCACACTAGGCAGGCTGCATGAAGAGTTTGTGTGATCGCAGTGGGGATCGCAAGTTTGATTCCCACAGTGGTCAAGCAAACATTTGTGTTTCCCCGTCATCATCTAAAAAACCCACAAAAAACAAATAGTCTTTACCTCTTGTTTACGCATATATTTCTGTGAAGGTTTGGCAATACGAGATGCTTGTGCAGCATTGTTAAAAGTACCACGAACACTTCCTGTGGCTGGTCTGGCAGAAGCAAGCTTTAAACAAATCAGAACAAAAATATTTACAATTTGAAATAAATGAGAAGAAGAAACAATACCTAGTAACAGCCATTTGTTGTTAATAAACTCTTTGACACGTTTTTTTATACTTATTAACTTCCATTTACTCGTTTGCAATGATTTTTTGGTTACAATTCCACAACACAATCACCGAATGCATTAACATATAATTAAGGTTAGTGTTTGGTTTAGGTGTTAGGGATAGTGTCTAATCATGCTAATATATATATGTTTTTACCGGATTAGAGGTCCGTATGGAGTTCGGCCTCGGGCCGTTTTTAAGACCGAGAGAAATATTTCTCTATACGGACCGACCATACCGGTAAATAATATATATTTTTTTTAATCCCCCCCTCTGAATTTCCACAACCTCCCCTCCCGCACGCGAATGAAGCTGCCAAATAAGGAAGTCACCTGACATGTTTATTTAAAAAATTCAAAAACGAAACATTCTGAATATAAGCACTTTTCAAGCGAACAAAAGTCGTTTAAATATATAAATATCCAGTGGAAGTTTATTATAAAGGAATGAAATCTAACAGAAAAACCTCAAAAAGGTTATATTTAGTCCGAGTCACTGTCATCGCTCAAGATAACACGACTTTTTTGGCAAAAGTCGCTTCTGCCAGTTCTGGAGCTCTGATCGGACTTTTACTCGCGTTGAGAAAAAAGTTGAAATGACAGCCTTCGATCTTTTGAATTGTTTCTCCTGAAACATGCCTTCGACTGCAGACTGGTTGGAGAAGGAAAGGTTTTGTTGTTGGAGACTGTATTGTGATTCATTTGGTTGAATTGGCGCTTGGTTTGTGGCAGAAGACGAGGCTCCTGAACGACTTAAAACGAACGACATTTTTCGCTGATGGACTGTCGAAAAGGATTTGTAAGAATCGAGGCTTTTCAAATTCTTGTGACCGCTCAGTTGGGCAACGTAGTTCTTGGGAATATTGGCACCCATTAAACGGGAAATACAGGTTTTTCTCACCGAGTGGTTTGTGATGTTACCAGGCAATTTAGCAGCTTTCGCAGCCTTCGAAAGAAACTTGCCGATTTCGTTTTTTCCGAGTGGAACTTTGTTATACCAGATCTGAGAACCTGGCTGGTGTCGGTGGTTAATAGCCAGGAAGAATGAAAAGTCCGGCTGTTTCATTTCGTCTGGTCGATGCTGGAAAAATGCACGATAAAACTGAACAGGACAACGTTCGTTGTGGGTTGCTTGCGTTGTGGGATAAAAGGCTCTCTGATGTTGCCCGTCGCCGTGCCTGGTCTTTGAACCTCCTTTAGCTTTCTACAACAACAATTCGCTGCCTGTTTCGGGGTCTTTACTGAGGGATACGTCTCCCCACTTTAGTCTTCTCGACTCATCACGCGCTCGAAAGCCGAAATGACGGGAAAGGACCCTCTGGAGAACTTCTGGGTCGTATTTTCCGAACAAACCCAACTCGAAGAACTTGTCTTCCTCTGCCGTCGTCAACTCTCAACAAGCTTGTGGTCGGTTTTCTTTGGTGTGTTGTTGGACAAGCTCTCGTTTCTTCCCTATGAGAACTTCACGGGATTTGGAAAACACCTGGTCTTGTAAGATATTCATTGTAGAACTCTTGTCGTTCAAATATCTCTGCAAACTTCTCTGGAAGTCCTTGAGAGAAGTAGGTTCATAAACGCTGCCATTTTTCTTGGGTAGAGTAATGAAACACTTCACGAGCTGGACATTTAATTCTTTGGCAGGCATGTTTACAATTTCTCTTGTCTCGTATATATATTGATTCAAAGTACCTTTTAATAGCATTTATGTTGTACGTCGTCTTCTTTTTCGTGTTATCTGGGCGCTGCCTTTCGATAAAACTTTGAATTTCACCCTCTTCGGGTGAAGTTAGACAAATTTGGCCCTCCACTGCTCTTCTAGGCGCTAAAACGTCGTTTCTATCAATGCTAGGAAGAGTAATATCTTCTGTAAAATTCACTTTCACTGTGTTCTTCATCGTCTGCAGACATTTTAATGCGGTTTTAAAAAGTAGCCTTTAAACTTGTCTTTAAAGTTTTAAAAATAAAAACATTACATGGCTGTACGGCTTTAAATATCTCGCGGTCTGAACGGGCTCGTACGGGCCGCTCGCGTAGCCAGTCAGATTGCAGAAAAGCGTAAAATATGATTTCGGACCGCAAGAAAAAAAATATATATTTGGTGACTTCGTGTCATGGTTCACACTCGGTGAATTGTTCGCATACAAGCAAACTTTTCTGTTTTCCCCGTGTGGACACACCGAGAGAAGCATCATCTAAAAAAACACAAAAAAAACCCAAATAGTCTTTACCTCTTGTTTACGCATATATTTCCGTGAAGGTTTGGCAATACAAGATGCTTGTGCAGCATTGTTCCAAGTTTCACAAGCACTTCCTGTGGCTGGACTGGCAGAAGCAAGCTTTAAACGAATCAGAACAAAAATATTTACAATTTGAAATAAATGAGAAGAAGTATAATAAACAATATCTGGTAACAGCCATTTGTTATTAATAACTCTTTGAAACAGTTTTTTATACTTATTAACTTAAATTTACTCGTATGCAATGATTGTTTGGTTACAATTCCATAACACAATCACCAAGTGTATTAACTGATATAATTAGGGTTAGTGTTTAGTTTAGGTGTTAGGGATATTGTTTAATCATGCTAATATATGTATATTCGGTTCACAATTGAATTGTTCGCATATAAAACCCCTTATTTTTTTGTTGTCATCCTAAAGTTGCTCTTATACACACTGTATATGAGTGTATTTTTTAAAAATAAAACTATGTAAGATTGTAGATCACTAGCAATCTATGTGGCATTTATAAATGGGATCCCTTTAACGGGGTTCCCATATTATCATTGATATAAATCAATGACAAGTTAATTGTTAGTCCGTTCATTGTTAGTCTGTTAGTCGTCAATGTACTCGTAATGAGTGAGTGATTTCTGCTAAGCAGCTCATTTTTGCTACATCAAAACCATAAAATAAAATTCTTAGAGAGATATAATATACCATTTATAGAATTTAATTTAGTATGAGGATTACGTATTGAAATATATAATTATATATAAATTACATGTAATGACTACAGTATATAACAATTAGGTTGCTAGGTTAAAATTATAATAGTAAAATTATATTGCTAACCCAAAAGTAGGATTTATTTTAATTATTTTAATAAATATTAAATTTAATTTTTATAATAAATTATTCGTACTTTCATTGTATAGGAAAGTAGAAGAGTTGTTAGTTTAAACGATAGATTAAATATAAGGTTTATGATAATTTAAATAGCAATATAAATTAGGATTAATGGTTAGGATTAGTGTTACGCTTAATGGTTATGGTTAATGTTTAGGATTAGGGTTGGTAGTTAGTGAAGTATAGGGTCACAGGGAGCAGGGGAGTCGAGTTTATCTATAGTAAAACAGTTAGGGTCACAGGGAGCAGAGGAGTCGAGTTTATCTAGTAAAACAAGATAAACACCGTCTTACCTTGTTTTTGTATTGATAAATTAATTTTTAATAGGATGGACTGACAGTATAGAAAATGAAAGAAAGCTTCAAATAGAATAAGGTTGGATAGCGGAAAACCCGGGTGTTTTAATCAAAGATGAAACCAAAATCACAGCATTTGCGAAAGTAACGCTACTGTAATTTTGCCCATAGATTGTTTCAAAAAGAGAAACAATGTCATGAATTCTTCAGGTTCCAAGCATGACAGGGAGACGTGTTTCTAACCTACTGGCAGGTCTTGGAACGACACGCCCGTTATGTGAAAGTGAGACAAGAACAAAATGAGTAAAGAGTAACGAAAATTTATGTAAAATTATAAAATATAAATATCAGTATGTATGAAGAGCAACGTAGATTAAATATTGTTAGAAAAAATTGAGAATAAAACAATACAATTACAAGGTAAAAGGATATTATGAAATATTTATTTTTAATTAGGTAACTCATTATAAACTATGCATACTTAAATATTTAATATTATAAATGATATTACTAAGTTTGTATTTTTACATCACGAAGCAAGTGAAATATAATTCATTAAAATTCAAAAAACTAAGTAAATAATTTTGTTTAAAATTGGACAAAATTGTAGAAAAACAATTAACAAACAAGGTGTAAAATAAACTAATTAAAGGACAGGAAAACAAACTTACGTAATCCTGTTTACGCATATATTTCTGTGAAGGTTTGGCAATACAAGATGCTTGTGCAACATTGTTCCAAGTTTCACGAACACTTCCTGTGGCTGGTCTGGCAGAAGCAAGCTTTAATCGAATCAGAACAAAAATATTTACAATTTGAAATAAATGAGAAGAAGTACAACAAACAATATCTAGTATAAGAGCCATTTGTTATTAATAACTTTTTGAAACGGTTTTTTATACTTATTAATCTAAACTTACTCGTATGCAATGATTGTTTGGTTACAATTCCATAACACAGTCCACAAATGTATTAACATATAATTACGGTTAGTGTTTAGTTTAGGTGTTAGGGATAGTGTTTAATTAATCATGCTAATATATGTATATTTGGTGACTTCGTGTCATGGTTCACACTCGGTGAATTGTTCGCATACAAGACCCCTTATTTTTTTGTTGTCATCCTAAAGTTGCTCTATATGTATATGAGTGTATAAAAAATTGTTAATCCAATTTTGGCATGTTGTGGTGTGTCAGGTATGTTGACTTTATAGATTTAACTTTTCCATATCAAATAGAGCAGGCCATTGGCTGTCTAATGAATCCTTTCTGGTATCATTGCAATAAATAGCCAAATATACCTCAATAAGTCCTCTAACAGCAAATCAAAATTTTGAGTAAAATTTATCTAATTTATGAACAACTTTACTCAACTTTTTAAATAAAGTTTCAAATTTACTCAATTTTTTGAGTATAAAGAATTACTTTACTCCAAAAATGGTGTAAGTTTGCTCATAAATTTGAGTAATAAACCTCAATATTTTGAGTCACTGTGGGTGCATTACTTGCATTATTTATATATATATATATATATATATATATATATATATATATATATATATATATATATATATATATATATATATATATATATGTATAAGAGTTGTTAATGGGTGTCTATTAGCGATAATGCAAAGCTCACTTCCCTTGTGGTCGTTTGAGCACTCTGGCCCCATTACACTCTGCGCATGTCTGGATGCGTTGATTCACCGTATTGTACCACATGCCTTGGTGAGAGCAAGTTCATCGGGTATAAATACGATTGTCTCACGTATCTAGACGTGTACCAAGCTGCACTGACGAGGCGTTGAACGCCGAAACATGCATGTCTGCAGATTGTATTATATATATATATATATATATATATATATATATATATATATATATATATATATATATATATATATATGTCTGCACGTAGATATAATTTCCATTCTTTTATTGAGTAAACAGTTTTGGTTTTCTTTCAAAATACAAAATTTTTCTTCTAAACGTAAATTACATCGTTTTGATCCTCCCGTATACGGGAGGATCAAAACGATGTATCAAACTGAACCAGTGGAGAAATACAAAACAAGTAATTGAATGGTTTGGAAATATAAAAGACAAAGAAAGACATAGTTTTATTTCGTTTGACATCGTTGATTTTTACCAATCCATTTCGGAAAAGTTTTTGGACCAAGCATTATCTTGGGCTTCTAATTTAACTACCATTTCGGATGATATTTTGATTATAAAACACGCCAGAAAATCTCTGCTTTTCAACACCGGAAAACCATGGACTAAAAAAGATAGTGAAGGTTTGTTTGACGTTACCATAGGCAGCCACGATGGCGCCGAAATATGTGAATTAGTTGACCTTTGCATCCTAAGTCACCTATAAGTAAGAAGTTTGGCAAAGAAAGCATGCATCGGCCTATATAGAGACGACGGTTTGGCCCTTATAAAAAATAAATCGGCACGTTTAGCAGACAAAACAAGAAAAGAACTCCACAAAATTTTCGAGCTGTTTGACCTAAAAGTCACCGCCGAATCAAATTTACGCATAGTAAACTTTTTAGATGTAACTTTCAATCTTAACAACGGAAAATATAGGCCCAATGACGATCCGCTATACATAAATAGGTATACTCTAACCATCCACCTAGCATTATAAGGCAGCTTCCTACATCAGTTAACAAACGCATCGCAATGCTTTCATCAGATGAGCAAACATTTATGGAATCTGCACCTGCATATCAAAACGCACTTCACCATGCATAGCAACTTTTATCGTGATCTTAACTACACTCAACACGCACCACAGCAAGCACGCAGAATTAGGCAACGTAATATGATTTGGTTCAACCCACCATTTAGCATGAATGTCAGCACTACTATAGGGCGTAATTTTCTTAACCTTATCGACAAGCACTTTCCTCCGCACCACAAGCTTCATAAGATCTTTCACAGAAATACAGTAAAAGTAAGTTATATATAAGTTCTATAATCATTAACCACAATGCACATATAGCTAGGACGAACAAGGCACAGGGCAAGGGCACTGCCAATTGCAGTTGTTCGAAAAACGCAAGGACATAGCAACAGTCACAACAAGCAACCCTAACACGATCATGAATTATATTGGCATGACATCAACTACATTTAAAGAGCGTTTGGTTAACCATAACTATACTTTCGAGCATAAAGGGCACTCAAACAAAACTGAACTTTCGAAATATATTTGGACATTGAAAGATAGCAAGAAAGATTTTAATATCAATTGGCAAATTTTGAAACGCGCTATTTCGTATACGGGAGGATCAAAACGATGTAATTCGTGTTTAGAGGAAAAATTTTGTATTTTGAAAGAAAACCAAAACTGTTTAC